TGACACATTATAGCATACATATTTTAAAGCCACCTTTACAAAAGAAAACATGAGTTTTTCATGCTCTAACCATTTCATACTTCGAGTATATAAGCAGATTTAAAAATCTGCCTCAGTTGGGTTCTCTCTTTTTAATCTGCTTATATACACTCGATGTAGCATACACTTAACATAGATATTTACCGAGTGACAAAAACACATTTCATAAATTCACAAATATATTTGTGTTCGATAATATTCCGATATTCAGCGACCTGCACAGATATTGTAAMTGGCCACGGTCACTCATCAGTTAGTTACCACCTTGTTTTACAAACTCCTTCTGATTGGCCTTTATTTTCCTATAAAATTCCCCTATAGTATCCGATGTCGATCTTATGGACATATATTCTGATAAGGRAGGAAACTACAGTCGCCATATTTCAACAAACAACTCACTTTAACCACGATKTCATCGTCTTTTAAACCTCGAACTYCACAAAAAACTTGATCAAAATGATCCCTACGATGAGGGATTCATTTCGTTAGAACTCTTTTTGCTCTTCCTCCAAGATTTCTATGAGCGAAATTTTCGTAAAGACACATTTTCGCTTGCAGAAAATTTTGTGCCATGTAATGTCAAGTTTACTACCTGCGTAGGAYTCGGGCGAGAACGAATTTCGACCTTACTACTCTTCCGCACAGGATTTTTATAACGTGTATGCGATCCACCACTAGCCACCCCCCACAGGGCTAGTTTTGTTCTTGAAAAATCCTTCCACAAAGTTCTCTATGGTCGACATTTTTTCGCTTTTTTAGTTGGTTTTACTTGAAAGTGAAAGATAACTACAGATAATTCAATAAGATATCAGGTTTAATGAAAATTACAATGGATGTCTTTCATTTAACTTGAAATCCTGGAGAYTTCCGTGCACTTTTTCTGGACAAAACTGCATCATCGTGAAAGCTGGTAAGCAAAAATCGATGCTTTTTGTATTTAACGATTTTTTGGTTATCCATATTAAGAGTTTTACGTTTTTGTATAGAGTATTTTTTACCGCAATGAAAGTAATAAATGAATATAGGTAATMAGATGGTTTCGAGTTCAATTTGGAATTAATTTGCACGAGTTTGTTTTTCAAAAAGTCCGTAATTGCGTGAGGCCACGGGGTGGGGAAGTAGTTGATGATCAAGTGACACGAAAGATTGAAGACGAAAGAAGAAATTGTCATTAAATGGTAAAAGTTCCAATCAAATCCCCCGCCCCTGCCCGGGTAATATATAATAATAATATTTATTTATATAGCGCTAAATCCACTAATTGTTCAGAGCGCTCACTAATAAAAAATAATAAAAATTGTACTAATTGTAAAATTATAAATTAAAAGCTAACTTAAACAAATGTGTCTTCAGAGAATTTTTAAAAACAGACACAGATGGAACTTTCGTATTTCTAGCGTTAAATTGTTCCACCGTCTTGGTGCAGCGACAACAAAAGCATTGTTGTTACGCCACAAAATGTAATAACTCGCACAAA